AACAACACCAGATTAACAGTTGGTGATATTTTTATATTTTTGCAGCTGATTTCAAAATCTGAAGTTTTCAGTATTCAATTTTATAATTATTTTTGTATTTTCTTGTTTTTCAAGTTACACTGGTATCATTTAGACAAAGATGGAGCATTTGCCTAGTAGATTATTCACATAACATTTTGAGAGAGTTTCAGAAAATTTTAAAAACTCAGTTCAATGTCACACATCATATGAGGTTTTGTGTAGTTTAAGGGTTAAAGTAAGAACAAAGCAATAACAATGCAGTTTAATGAAGACAAATATAAATTAGCAAATTTAGGAAAAGATTGACACTATATATTTGTCTCTTATGAGGCCTTACTTAGAATACATCGTCTAGTTCTAGTCACCAAAATTAGAGTGTGCATCAATTACCCTGAGAAAACCCAACAGATAGGATGACCAGGCTGATTTCCATACAAGAAATTGACCTACATTCTCTGGAGAGGTGCAGGGCAAAGGAAGACATTGATTATAAGTCTTCAAGTATATTAGGTTTTATCAATAGGGGAGATATAAACAAGGTCTTGAAACCATCACACTAAGTCAAAACATGCAAAGGGAATGTGCAATAAACTGGTTCAGATTCAGGGAGGATGTGGGATTAGTACTAGTTTTCTGGACTACCTGCTTGATGGGGGTTCTGGGAGATCTTCTACTCCCCAAGCCCGGCCCAATAATTATGGATCTAGAAAGACACCACTCAGAATGGGCCAACTGGTATCTTATGTTCTTTAATATTAGCTCAAATAGACAAATTTTCTTTGAACCATACACCAAAGCATTACAAAGTTAATCCTCAGTATTAAGAATATTCATTATAAAGGTATGATTATGACCACTGAAGTTAAATTCTCTTTAAAGTAACGCAAGAAAGACATTATTAAAGTACACAAATGTATGAAAATCATGTCTACACAAGGGACATAAAGCACTGACACATCTGTATCAATTTTAGATACTCAAAAGTCAGGTCACAAATATACTCAATAAAATAACATTTATGATGTGATATGTAAACAAACAAGTATAAATACTTCATTCAGGACAGCACATTTAGGAAGTCTTTCTTGGACAGTAGTCAGTGGAGGGTTGGTCCAGTTCAGTGCATCATGACAACTAAAGGTGGATATAAAGCTATAGAATGGATGGAGTTCGATGAAACTAATAATGAGAAGCAAAACAAGAAACAGAAGTGTAGACATTGTAGAAGAAAAATATATTCAAAGGCAGAAAGACTTGAAAAACCATTTCAAAAGATACACTCAATTTGCCATGAAAATGTCTTCACACAAAAAGTCCTTGGAGGAGGAGAAGAACGTTAATATACCAATAAAGACAATTTGCCAGGCACATCGATAAGCACAACTTTTTCTCCACCACTTAAAAGAAGCGTGACTCCAGTCACTCATTCACCTGGTTGCATATTTAGCACTTCCCAAATATTAGAAAATTATCCAGCAAGGAAGATGAAGATGCTGAATAGCTGTCCAAGATCTCCAAGATCTGTCCAAGATGAATGCCTTTTACCCCCTTTGCTTGGTCTCTCCATTGAAGATGAACAAATGTACCCAAAATCAATTATGACACCCAAGGTTACAAACATTCTCCACAGTCAAGTGATGGAAACCAATAAAAAGCAAAACAGAAATAGTTCCCAGTCTTCTTACACCTGAATTTTGTTAATTTATGATAGAGCTAAGTAGCTTACCAACAAGCTCTGCTTCAGCCGAGAGGATACTTTTCAACTTTTAGACGTGTTCATACAAAGACAAAAAACAGACTGATATGAAAAAGATTTAAAACTAGCAAGGTGTAATAAGTTATTGAAAGGGAAAGTTGAAAACTGGTTAAGTGTCAAGTGACTACAGTACTGTACTGTATAGTATACTGTACTTGTCTTTCATATACATGTACATGCTGTACTTTAAGCTGTAAATGTAAAATACATTACAGTATATACAAGTAAAATAATGTGTATAAAACATTTAATTACCATCTCGAGTTATCAGGACATCATGAAGGGCACCACAATCATCAAATGCACCAGTGATCGAAAGAGGCTCTGAACACTTGTGACCCTATTCATTCGAGAGCTGGTCCTAGTAATTAACATTCAAATGCATTTAACATTATGCATCCAATTGTTTAGTAGCCTTCCTCTCATCCAAAGGGAAAATACCGCCACATAAGGCAATCATTATCTGATGTTAAGACAGCCATCACATGAGCCTATATTTTGTCACACTCTATGACTAAAGACAGTTCAGACTAAAGACTAGACTTTAGACTAAAGTCAGACTTTTTAGTCTAAAGACTAAAGACAACCAATTCCTAAGAATGAGGATGATGAGGCGAGGTGAACCCACACTTACATATGTGTACCATGTGCATTTTCCTGAAGATGTAATAATACATCTTCATCCTTCTGAAGATGTATTATTAAATACGAAAGTACTTAAGGAAATTCCTGCTTCAATCCTTCCTTCATGGTCCAACACTCACATTTTTCATCATGTGTTAATTTTTGTGATTTACACACACATTTTATATTATATATGTATATAATATTTCTATCTCTGTATATCTCTATCTCTGTACTGTATTTCCCTCCCTCTGTACCTCTCTATCATATCTCTGCATCTCTATATCTGTATCATCTTTGCATCTATGTATCATCTATCTACTCTACATCTTTGCATCATCTCTATCTCTATGTCTGTCTGCATCTGTACCTATCTCTGTCTGCATCTGTGTATCTGTCTTTTTATACCTCTAATTCTCTCCGTACATCTATTTCTTTACCCCCTCTGTATCTGTATGTCTATCACTGTATCTCTATACTCGCCTAGATGTGCTTAAAGGGTCGTGCTAGGCTCCCAGCCCCGCCTTCAGAACATTCTTAGATTAATGCAATGACTCATTTCTCGTGTTTTTCACATTTGCATTTACGAATCTTTATCGAATTAGTTTCAAAGACTTCCGTGCTAACCTATTTCACTTATTGACAACTCTAACACTAAAATAGTTCTTTCTGACATCTGATTCACTTGCACCTCTCCCTCTCTCTGTATTTACAGTTTATACACGATATACAGTACAGTAATTGTCCACCAATGCCATGTGGGTGGCAGTGGTGAGAGGAACTTCGTGGTATGAAATATTAAAATTTAGAATGATCACCTATTTGCTTTGAAAAAGGGGTGGGGCTTGAGAAGCCCTAAACTGAAGCTGTGGAACGATTGTTTGATTTATGCTATTACAGCCAAAGTAAGGACATGGGAATACGGATGTTAATTTTCCAAAATTAGTGAATAATGGTGTATATTTACACAATTTTTTTCTCAAAATATTTTGATGGGTGTAGCCAACAGACAGGGCCAAAATTCTCTATCACACATTTCGGGCAAGTCCTTAATCCTAATTTACCCTGGAATACGACCCACCGAATCGTTTAACAACCAGGTACCCATTCACTGCTTGGTGAACAGAGGCTACAATTAAGGATTGGCGCCAAGTAAACCCTCCCCGGCCAGGATACGAATCCAGGCCAAAGCAGTTGCGAAGCGCCGAGCAAGTGTTTTACCACTACGCCATGGGGAATGCAACAGGGATTAATTATACAAATCGCCCAATACTGTGCTAGTAAAACACTACAAAATCTAATCAATTCTAGATGTTGTTCCTTAAGCTAATTATCATAAACTATTACATTGAACTTTTTTTACTTGTATGCCTTGTCAACAGAATGGCACCCAATGACTACATATAACAAAAAAGTGGTATACAGTATAATACAGTAATATTAACCAACAAATACCTTATATTTGTAATTGTAAACCTGCATTATCTACTTTCCTAAACAACAATATACAACGTAAGATTTGAACAATTTATGTAATGTATTCTGAGCTTTATTAGGCTATCTTGAGATGGCTTTGTTACATTAGTCTGCAAAATGCCTAAATAAGGTTGAAAGTAAACAGTAGCAGCTGTATGAATCATGAAATTTTGTTTAAAATAGTAGCATGAAAATATAATTACTGTATACAGGTACAGTATTAGTAAGTAGCCTTTGCAATATTAGGCACTCGGCAAGAAAGTCGAAAGTACAGTAATGATATGCTTAACAGTCAATCTGGATTTGTTTTATTATTTCACTAATTAACTGAATAACACTGAATCTGATTATATAATGAGAAGGCCAACATGTATTTTAACATGAATGTAAATATTAATTGCAATGGTTTGGGGGGCATGTTAAATGAACTGTAAGGCACTGTATACCTGACTATACATCTGCTATCTTTTAACATTTTATTCTTTCTTATAACTTATGGTACTTACCATAAGGGTTCTGACATAATATTTAAATATCATATACTGTATTCAAATAATTACTGAAATTATATCTTCATGCACATTTTACCATATTTTAAATAGGTACTGGTATTGTTTAAAAAGCCCCTCATCTAATTTTAGCTTTTGTTCAATATTTAAAAGCTCATTATACAAATTCAATTTACATGCTAATAGAGAAAATAGTTTTCACCAAATCTAATATAATAATTTATCAGGATATAAAATAGATATACTTATCCTAGTTTAATAATTACATCCATAGCTTATTGTTTACCAATTTCAAAATAGACAATACTGTATTGTAATGTAGCCAGTTCCCCAGAATTATAGCACCAAAGTTAACAACTTAAGATGGGAAATACAGTACTGTACTGACACTTACAGTATACTACAGTATACCAATTTATCAGAATTTGCCTTTATGTAGAGTATGACAGTGTATTACAGATACAGTTTATGAGCCCTACTTAAATGTTTTGCAAACTTCAAAGAAAAATTCAGATTAATTACAGTAACTATCAAGCAAACCAGATGAATGAAGGATGATGCATTTACAAATTTAGCACTAGAAGTAACAAGTAATAATATACTGTTTAACTCACCTTATATTTACAGGAAGATCTTCAGAGCGTACTCAGATGAGCGCCGCAGAATAAGAAACAAGTCTTGTCACTGGCACATTCTTATTATGTAATAAACTTTTGTAAACTGCAACAATTCACTTTTCAACAAAATATATTTCTCTCTGTCCCATTATCAGCACTTATACTATTAATCCACATCATAAGGCAGCAGTAAGCAATGCTTTACTTCCTCCAGAGACAGAAGTATGAAGGAAAGTTTGACTAAGGTATAGTGTGTGAGTGAGACTTGAGGTCACAAGTTACACACTGCAGTTGGTATCTTGTATTGCACACTGCTGAGATGAATGGACTCCACACAACACACACACACTCTTGATCCTACTGGAACCTGCCAAATTTAGCTACCTGTTGAAAGGAATTGACATCGCTATAAACCACTATATATTGAAAACATGCATATGTACGATAATTTTAGTAACGTCGAAATCAATATAAATTATGGTATATAATTTATATTATATAGGCTCATGAAATCACTTAAAAACAAAACCTGGGTAACAAAATACTTCAGGCCTAAGGTCCTAAGGTAGCAAACAATTAATATTGACAAACGTATCTACTATACAGTACAGTATAGGGTTGTTTAATAGTGTATTTAAAATGATAAATTTCCAGAATTTCTATTGTTACAAGAACTCTGCCATCAGCAAAATCACTTTTACACAGTTCTGCATAATACCATACTTTATGTTCTTAGTTACTTATCAGGTTGTTAGGGTGTAATCCCCAAGTTCATATACTGTATTTAGGCGTTAGTGTGCCTTAGTGGTAGAGCGAGACAACACAGTGACACGCCACACTACTCTCCACTCACCGCTAAGTTTCAAAGTGTAAGACAAGAATGCAGTCACCACCCCCACTTCCTTATTCAAGTCACTAAACATTTTCTCTCTCAGATATTTTCACAATTCTAAGTTCGGCACAGCACCAGGCGTAAACTATGTAATATGTATACCCCACAGAGGCCATTTTCTAGGGTGGAAGTATTGTGAGGGAAGACACAAGATGAACACTTGGTGGGGAACAGAGCGCGGGCAACACTACACCAGTACGGCATCCTCACCACCACTGCCACTCCCTAGTCTCATGGGCCACTCCAACATGGAGGCAAGAAGAGTGTGTAGCGCACACAGAGGCACTGATATACGAGTGAGAGAGAAGTAGAGGAGCCAGGAAGGTAGGAGGAGACTGGCGGGCGATACCTTGCAGCACCCGCACCTCCTCCACCACTACTGCCGTCATTTCCCTATCATGGCTCTTGCCAGCACCCGCTGGGGCCTACTCTTCCACCTCCCGACGCACACTCTCTCCCACTAGGCCACTATACCTCCATTTAATTCCTATGTTATGATTTCTATTCAACTTTTGCAGGACGCCATTTTGAAGCGAGAATTCCTTAAGAATCAAACAGGACTTTTCGGTCTACGCTCTTATTTTGACGGGATTTTCAGGTTGTTGCGGCGTGGCTTCTCTTACCTTTACCTTTAATACATCTTCGGAGAGGAAGATTTTGTTTTATAATCACAAACTCACTAATTAATCCACTTAAAACACATGATTAAGGTTCAACTCATACACACGACTCAGTCCACTCACTCAAAAGTAATATCAAGAAACTTCTATGAGAGATGCGGCGGTAAATGTTACAAATGTTCCTATTGGTCCGGTGTGCGAGATCCTGGCGATGGTTGGTGAGCGAGACAAGGACTCTCACGGTGCTGGCCAATGGTGACGCCTCTTACTTGGCACACAAACATTCATCAGAGGAATGTGGGTGAGTAGCGTTTGGTGACCGTGGAATGTGAGGTGATGTTGAGCTGAGGGAGGCAGACGATGGCGGTCGAGGGGCCAATACCTCCCAGCCCTGCCACCACCACCTCCTCCTATACCTCACATTTCCTACATTCCCACATTCGCTACAATCATACATCTTAACTCAAAATAACAGCAGTCATCCCACCTACCTGGTAATACAGGCAGTTCTTGTATGATTAGTCGAATATATTCACTACCTTGCTCTCAATATGAAGGTTCTTTTTACTAGATCCGTGAATGTATATATGTACTACTGTTGCTCTTTATCATAGCCACGTTTTAAATATCCGGAGATGATAATTGTTCACTTTATTACTCTCCGTCACAGGCCGCATTTGTCCCAACGTGTGATAAAAATATTTTAGAGGTGTTATCCCAGAAATAAATTTAATTTCATTTATATCATACGTATTTCACATTCTTGTATCTGTTGCACTTTCATTGTCTAGTGTGTTTCGTACCCAGTCACTTAAGTTCGTACGAGTCCAACTGAGTCTTCAGCACTTTCCGCGCAACACTTTACGTATTTTTTGATAAATTGCGTATTGGCTTGGTATGTGTGCGTAAGTGGCGATCACAGCTTTGTTCATTGTGATGAGAAGCGACAGGTTTGGAGCACATGTGGTACACAAGAGCGTGTCCTTCAGCGCTCTAAGCACTCTACCAGCATAACTGTTGCCTACATAATTCTACCATATGCGACCTTCGACTTTATCCTTCACTCTCTTCTACTGTTCCTTTTGTGCCGTATAATTAGTATCTGCCACAGTGCGTGGTTAATGTTTGACGTGGGTCTTTAGGCCGATACGGGTCATATACGCTCCTCAAATTGATTGAATATAGTGATTACTGATCATTATATCATGTTTATGTTTCATGTCTTGTTCGAAAGTTAATTACCAATGCACTCCCACTTCCGTCTCTTGCCGCTTACCTGCTTGTTAAAGGGTTCATTTATATTATGAGCTCGGCTTATTTTCCCTTTCCTTAGAAATCCACTTACCGTTGGCTACGTTCACCGACGATCGTACCCTCGGCTGCGTTCACCGGTGCGACGATCCAGGTACCTCGGCTACGTTCACCGGTGCTACGATCCAGGTACCCTTGGCTATGTTCACCGGTGTAACGATCCAGGTACCCTCGGCTATGTTCACCGGTGCTACGATCCAGGTACCCTCGGCTACGTTCACCGGTGCTACGATCCAGGTACCCTTGGCTATGTTCACCGGTGTAACGATCCAGGTACCCTCGGCTATGTTCACCGGTGCGACGATCCAGGTACCCTCGGCTATGTTCACCGGTGCTACGTGATTTGCTAGTTAGTCCTATGGTCGTGCATGCTTTAGAGTAAACATTCCATTGGCCCTCGCGTTTGTCAGACTACCACAAGCTGTCAAGTGCAGCGATATTATCATATTAAACTGATTATTATTAGTAATGAATACAAAGATATCACTTCCAACTTTATACAGCGAATATATATATATATGTGTTTCAGTACCATAGATATATGATATAATTTGGTTGATGAGTAATTGAAATGTGGCAACAGGGTTTAAAAGTTGAGTAAGAGTTAGGCATTTAGGACGTTCGTCACTCTAGGGTTGAGTGTCCTAGGCTTGATCAGCAGACACTCGCATTTAGGACGTTCGTCACCCTAGGGTTGAATGTCCTAGGCTTGATCAGCAGACACTCGCATTTAGGACGTTCGTCACCCTAGGGTTGAATGTCCTAGGCTTGATCAGCAGACATTCGCATTTAGGACGTTCGTCACCCTAGGGTTGAGTGTCCTAGGCTTGATCAGCAGACATTCGCATTTAGGACGTTCGTCACCCTAGGGTTGAGTGTCCTAGGCTTGATCAGCAGACACTCGCATACACCACAAGTGGATTTGCTCACTCCGTAACTATCCTGGACACGGAGGCTAGGCTGAGCGACATATGGCTCTTGCTGTAAGAAATTCCACTGAACAGCGTATGTGTTGGAGAGAAAGGTGAGCGTTCGTTATTGGCTTGTCAGTGGAGTGTGGTGGTGCGTGTCTCTGTGTACTCTCCGAACTAAAATCTTATACGTGTCCTTAAGATAAAAGTAGATGTGAAGAAAATAGTTGAGCATGCCCAGAATGTGTTTACCCCATGTCCTGTTGGGAAATGTGTGCCCAAGTGCAGACACTTCCCTGTACACACAAGAGAATGTGCACAGAGCCAGACGGAACTACACAGAGGTATGCGAGTACATGTGTGTGTGCACGTACGCACACACACACATAACTTGTGTAAGGAATCATTCAGAACCTTGTATACCACTTATGTCAGACCAATCCTAGAGTATGCAGCTCCAGCCTGGAGTCCATATCTAGTTACCCAGTAAGAGAAGATTCGAAGGTATGCCACCAGACTAATCCCAGAATTGAAAGGTATGAGCTACAAGGAAAGGTTACGGGAGCTAAACTTCACTTCGCTGGAAGACAGAAGAGTAAGGGGAGACATGATCACCACCTACAAAATTCTCAGAGGAATTGACAGGGTAGACAAATACAATCTATTTAGCATGGGTAGAACACGAACAAGGGGACACAGGTGGAATCTTAGTACCCAAATGAGCCACAGAGACATTAAAAATAATTTTTTCAGTGTAGAGTAAGGGGCTAGGTGGTGGTATATATATAATCTGATCTAACAAAATAATCTGCATTAACAAATAATCTATTTGTTAATGCATTCCATTTGTTAAGAAATGGAATTCATTGGGAAGGGATGTGGTGAAGGCAGACTCCATACACAGTTTCAAATGTAGATTTGATAGAGCCCAGTAGGCTCAGTAATCTGTACACCAGTTAATTGACAGTTAAGAGGCGGGACCAAAAAGCCACAGTTCAACCCCCGCAAGCACCACTAGGTGAGGACACACACACACGAGAGCAAGAACAGCGAGGGTGGCCAACTAGCGAGCCGGTCTCTCGCACGTGTGTGTGTGGTCATATTGGTTTAGCGCTTTCAACGCATAATTATCTTACCTTGTATGTATGTGTGTGCATATAAGTGCGTGTGTATTTACTATTTGTATCTGCACAATCGAGCTATTAGCTCGTATTCATAGGTAAATAAATACAAGGAGAAATCTAGAGATTTATAAGTGTGGGTACAACTCAGTCTACGATTCTCCTAACCCCCTTTAATGGTAGGGGGCCCAGAAAAATAGGGTGAGACGATTGTTGCCCGACTCCGGCTTCTAGCTGTCCGCCAGGTCTTACGTCTTCCCTCTGGATCAATGGAGGACCATCGAACAGTTGTATACTCGAAGTCGAGTTCATCTGGATGTTGATTACTGGTGTCAGCTCCCGAGTGAAGACAGCATCAAGCATACGAAGCCTAATACGGTCGTCGGTGCGTGTGATTATTGTCGTATCTTTCCCTATGAAAGTGAGGGAGAAAGGGAAGTATCAGGGGAAAGCACCAAATCATTACGACTATATAGCATTTGGAAGAGGTCAAGATAAGGATTTCAGATGGGGACGGGGGAAAGGGATGGTACCCAACCAATTGTTTATGTAATAATCTAAGATGAGGTCTGATAAAGACCTTTTGTGCCCTCTGTAATGCTTTTTGCGCTACCGCTCACAGGATGAGTATGGGGTGCACAATAAACTAGCCGCCTCCGGCGGCAACAATCAATCACTTTGACAGTCGGGGATTGAACCGTCAAACCCAAGTGGTTGGACACTATGCAAGTGAATGATATATATATATATATATATATATATATATATATATATATATATATATATATATATATATATATATATATATATATATATATATATATATATATATATATATATATATATATATATATATAATGTGTGTGTGTGTGTGTGCGCGCGTGTACTTACCTTATTGTGCTTGCGGGAATTGAGCTTTGGCTCTTTGGTCCCGCCTCTCAACTGTCAATCAACTGGTGTACTGATTCTTGAGTCTGCTGGGCTCTATCTAATTTACATTTAAAGCTGTGTATGGAGTCAGCCTCCACCACATCACTGCCTAATGCATTCCATCTGTTAACTACTCTGACAATGAAAAAGTTCTTTCTAACGTCTCTGTGGCTCATTTGGGTACTAAGTTTCCACCTGTGTCCCCTTGTTCGTGTTCCACCCATGTTAAACAGTTTGTCTTTGTCCATCCTGTCAATTCCTGTGTGTGTGTGTGTGTGTGTGTGTGTGTGTGTGTGTGTGTGTGTGCGCGCGCGTGCGTGCGTGTGCGTGTGCTGCCTCAGCCAGACAATGGCGCGTCGTCTGCCGCCGCCCTGCTGGTGGTGGTGATGGCCTTCTTCAGACATACTACGCCTGTCCCTCCTCCGCTCACGGACTGATGCACCTGTTGTGGTGGACGGGGCTAGGGGTCACACATGATGGACGGGGCTAGGATCACACTTATGGTAGATGACGATAGGATCACTTGTGGTGGACGGGGTCTAGGATCACTGCTGCAAAAGACTAAGCTAAGATCAATGATCGTGGAAAAGTAGTTGTTCTAGCTGGTAATTGTCATTCTGTGACCATTGTTGCAGTTGTTGTTGTGTTAGGCTCATTGTTGCACATGTCACCTTCAAGAACAGCTACTGTTATTGACGAACCGGACTAGCTATTCTTGCATGTGAAGCAGGAGAGAGGAGAGCGAGCCTAGTCAACAGATATATACCAGCTGAAATAGCCACTGTGGTATATTCAATATAAACCACATACACATAAGCGTGATCAACATAAATACACATGAGCATGATGACCGCAGTGCGCACTAACAAATGCTCCCACTGGTAT